AAGTTTGTGAACATAGTAAGTCGTTTGTAGTCTCAGACTTCCGACAGAGTATACGAAGAGCTCCCCAAAAGCTCCCGTACGCAAATCGGTGGCCGTCAGGAGTCCCTATTCGCTCAATTCCAATTTAATTTCGTAACCCGTGAGATAATGAGACGGACGCTGGAAGGTCTCCAAAACCCCGGTGTTCAAATAGCCTCTGACAATGACCTTGGTGACCTGGAATATGCAGACGACATCGTTCTCGTCTTCGAAGAGAAGGAGAAGGCACAGGTGTTTTCTATGCACTTTGCACCCACCAAGTGTAAGATTACGCTGGTAGACATGCAGTCACTGAACACTCCACTTACAATCCAGGGAGAAGTACTTGAGATTGTTGAGCGTTTTATTCATCTTGGAAGTTGTGTTAGTTCTGATTGTAGTATGGCAGATGAAGCGAATGCACGAGCCTAGAAAGCCCCGGTCGCCTATGCTAATTTGAGACATCTGTGGCATCAGGGCGGAATATCGCTGAATATAAATGGACGTCCAGAGTTCCGGCTGTTTTATTGTATGGCTGTGAAACTTGGTCTGCTCGAGCAACGCAGCTGAAACGCATCAAGCTGTTCGACAATCGTTGTCTCAGGACCATAGCCCGAGTGAATTGGAGTTCTCGTTTGTGCAACGGGTACTTCCATTGAAGGATGTGTCCAGCACCAGAAGCTACGTTGGTCAGGCAATGTAATGCGTACGGCGAACCATCGTTTGCCGAAGAGAGCGCTGTTTTCCATGCCCAACTCAGAGTGGCGAAAGCAGAGAGGTGGCCAACGCTTGACTTGGCAGACGCTGATACTCGCATCCCAGGATGAGGACCGCGTGATGCCGACTAAATTGAGTTGGAGACCCTGTAAGTTATGGCGATATGTAGATGGCGTCGTTGTTGGCTTCAATCCAGATTGCCTGAAGTGCAAGAACCTCGGAATGTTTGTACTAAGCTAGCACTAAGACCCTTCCCCGTCTACCTTCATTCTTTTGTTCACAATAAGGTTTTCAAATAAATCATGTTTGTACAAAAGCGAGGCGACAGTGTAACACTGACGTCATGCTGTCCATGATGATGACAGACGACCAGGTTTCCGACCTGAGCGGTTTGCTTAATATCATCTTCATTTCAAACACAAGTAGCCATCACCATCATAATTGTCATCGACAGCATGACATCCGTGTTCTACACGGATGCTTCGATGCCGTATCCAACACAAGTCATAATGACTGGACGGATCTGTACTGCCAGACAATTCTGTCGGATGCGTACTCGCCGCTACGGGCAATTTGATTCAGTGTCTGCTAAAATGGAAGACCTTCCAAACCTGTGATGGATTTCAGTCTGCTAACTTTCAGATGCCTTTCGTGAAACTGTTTCAATACTTGAATTCGATGCATTCGCGCTATGGCAACGCGGTTGCTTGATATCAGACAATCAAAGCGGATCTGCGAAGAAATAACTGTTCACGTTTTTATCCATAAGCCATTCATTTCGGAAATATCGAATAACCCATCACAGCGGTGTCATACGTGGTTACTTCTAGCAAGCGCTGTAGCAGAGATAGGAAGGTGCTGAACGGATTCAAGAAAATTGTTAGACTGCACTATCGATTGAAGTTGATGTGATCACCCAAGCTTCGTCTCTCATGTTGATATTTTAGGGATATCAAATGCTGACTGACGTCAGCCTGCGTCGGCAACGGCATCCATTGCATCTTCACGACGTCAGCTTCCCGAAACACCCTCTTGGATGTCCTACTGAAGTCATCGGCAAAGGAGTGACGCTGATTTGTCAGTTGTGCGGTAATCGTAAGACAGAATCATGGGAGCCCAGCTTTGAGGGCACCTGGAATGGGATAAAAATAAAATAAAAACCCATGATGAGTTCATTCAAGGTGCAGAACGAGCTTACCGTGTAGTATATACAGAAGACTGATGTCTAGTCAATTCGATGCTCAGGCCTACCGCGCGCTGTAGTCTTTGGCGAATGCACTTGCTCAACAACTACACCGAAGGAGAATTGTGCACGACACAAGTCCATTAACGAACTAGATCTGTACGGCATCGTCGGGTTGCAGAAAACGAAATCACGGAAAGCTATATGTCCAATAGACTGAAGAAAGATGGCACATTCTGTTACAGGTGATAAAGACCCTGCTGAGTAGAGCATACATGTGCGGTTTTCGCTGGATCATGCCGTATCCACACACTCGTACCAACAACATTTGGACAACCCCACCCTGTTGCATCGTCTACTGCCCACACAAGCCCTGCATTAAACCTAAACGTGGATCAAACTGTTTGCATACTGCTGAATCAACGGACAAAACTGACGAGAATCGAGGAACACAAGTTTGTCGTGACTTGACAACCGCTATAGCCGATCAATTTATCGAGACAGACCACCGGAGATCAATCAGACCGAATAGTTTATTGGGTGCCGAAAATTTGGCATTTACCAACGAACACCCGAAAGACGATCACCATTAGGATAAACAACCCGCGTTCCTACAATCAGAAGATGAGAGCCCTGACGGAACCTTTGCACACCAATCAAATTTTCTCACCACCGAGTATACGTTATCGTTTTTAAACCATAACAAAACTGTACAACACTTTAGCCCAGTTTTCTACTTCATCGCTGTAAGCGTCCAATTAGGGGCGATTAGGAGCGATTACTACAAACTCGTAACAGCTTACCATATATATATATATATATAATATTATGTATAATAAACGAATGTAAAGAATAAACAAGACATCCTAATGGTCCATAAGCCCAACCGGGATAAAAACCAACTACAGCGGTGTAGATTATGCATAAAACATCATCATTGTCAGCTGTAATAACCGCGTACTCGTCGTAGTGGTTGTAGCTGCCACAGTTTCGTTCACCGATGAAGCGGGGAGATGGGGTAGGTAGCTGCGCATTGCAGGCGGGAGCTGATAAATTACAGCAGCACTGTAGGTGGACTGTTAAGTCGGGGTGGCGGGGTGGGAACGAAGCTATGCATTGAAGGCAATAGCTTGGATGCATGAGAACCATTGAGGGCGCGACTGGACCATGTCTGACAATGTTTCTAACGATTGATGTGGCCCATCTCGGGGTCCCCATCCAGGAAGACGGCAGTGACCTGCGCAGCTAAGTTTGCTGGTAATGGCTTTTATACTTCGCTGCTAAGACACTGCACGACCGCCTCTGGCCAGTTTTGGCCCTTCGCATGGATGTTGGTCGACTGACATATGGAACACATGGCCAAGCCAGCGCAACCGATGCAGTGTGATCGGTTCATCTATCGAGGGTGAGTTATTTCTCCCGAATACCATTCGACGAAATTTGGCATTGCTGATCCGGTGTCCCCACCAGATTCTGGCAATGTTCCGAAGACATTGACGGTCGAACACTGAAGGTCTTTTGACGTCTTTGGCGTGCAGCGGTCAGGTCTCTGATCCGTATAGTAAGGAGGAGGGTCAAGAATTTATGGGGGCCACCTTTGCTCCACAGACACCGCAACAGTGCCTGACGGTTCACAGAGTCAAAGGCAGCTTTCAGATCAAGGAACACAACCATTGTTGGCTGCTGGAAGCAGTGTTGCTGTTCCAGAATTTGTCGGAGTGTGAAGATGTGATCGATGTAACCTCTTGCAGAACGGAACCCAGCTTGGTTTTCACGGATCTGCCTCTCCGTGTCCAGTCAACCTTCGAAGGATAAGGCCAAAGGGCACTTTGATGCCACAGCTAACAGGCTGATGCCACGGTGGACAAAACCTCAATATGGAGGGACTGATGAGGGTGTGGTAAAAAGAGGCTGACGTACAAAAACCCGATTGCTGTTGGCAGCATTGGACCCAACCGAATTCCCCCAGAAAAAGCATAAGTGAATAGAGTCAGAGGTACTGCCGAGGGTAGAAGATCAATACAAAGCACAATTAACCGGTCACCGATCCACTGGAGATAGATACCCCAAAAAACCGTTATGTTTGCGAATCCTACGAACGTTCGGGCCATTCTAATGAATATCATAATAAGTTGTGGGAAAAAGGGTCAAGCGCGTTTCTCCCTCGGTCCGATCTACACAATGCCGAGATGTAGTGACCATCAGTCTCGTCAGAACCGTGTAAATTTGGGCGATTTAAGAACAGCGGAATACCTGAAAGCACACAATCGAAAGTTTGGTTGTCCAATCTTAATTCACGACTAAAACCACCAGTGCGCACGCAGTTAGCTTTATGCTCATAATTTCCTTGTTATCACTGTAGTGCTCGAAAGTCCTATTGTCCTGACGACCACCTAGGACAGCTTTATACGGATTTCACAACCTTCAGGTACGTAATTCGATGTAATTGGGTTTCCCGTTTATCGATTATCAATATCTGAAGTTTTCGCTGGAGGTTTCTAGAATAACACTGCTGATCAGTTTACGTCCAGTTATAAGGCACGTTCGAAATTCCATTTTTGTGACTGACGTAGTTGTTCAATGAATTTGAAGCCAAATTAAGTTTACACACGCAAGGAAGCAGTACGTCGCATGCTGGGAGTTTGAAGAAGACGTGTTCAGCGATCAAATCAATCGACATGAGCGAGATTCACGGCTCCGAGCAGATGGGTTGCGACATCTTCTACTTTGACTACACATCAGCGCGAGTGCAGAAACTAGTGGCTTCAGCAAAGTGAAGGATAACGCACGGATCTGCATTGTCTAACAGAGGACGTTTTAAGATACCTTGAATACACAAGAGGGAGCCGCTGGAAGGTAGATTGTATTGAATTTGCGAATGATAGCCCAAGGTAAGAAAACGAGAACGACGCTGAAAAAGTATTTTTTCCGGGTGGTTGACAAGTTTCGGGTGGGTAAGCGGCTGGAAGCAACATTTAAACAAACGGAAAATAAATAATCTGTACCGAATAACAGCGTAACACAAACGTTTCCAACGGGCTAAGGAAAAAACCGGCGTGAAGTGTCAGTCCCGATGACTCGATCACGCGGCCGTGGTTTCCCAGTGTTTGACCATGCGCTCTGAGGCGGTCCACAGTCGATCTCCCACACCGTCACGCAAAGCCTGCGAATTCATTTGACCAACACGACATTGGTGGTAGTAAGCACCGGGTTGGATGTCCTCGGCAAGGCAGCAATACAATATATCTTGAGCTCCTTGCCAGGGGCTCTTTGACAGCCGGCTAAGAAGGCGATGGACTAACCACTGGAGAAAGACAGAGAAAAAAGGTGATAGAACTTCCGCGAAGTTGGTTGTCGAAAGCACAAAAGGTTTATGTCAAATATATGCCTTGTACGGTTGAATGAATGGGCAAAGACGGACTAAACTGCTGCAGCTTATCGGATAACTTGAAGTTACAGAGCAAAAGAACAAGCTTCAGGGACCTTCGTCATCCTCATGCTTGGAATGAATGGAATTGAACGACTGCCGTTCAGGAGTCGGTGGATGCCACCAGGAATACATGCCGACGTAAAAACAACCGAAAAGCGAGAAATGGAATCAAACCAAGCTGATTGCTATTCGACCAGCAGTTTGCACGAACCTGAGATATCTGCGCTAAAAATCGACTCAATTAACCGGTTGAGCTCAGTACGAATATTTCTTGAATGTAGTGATGGAATTAGACTGGCCTTCATACACTGCCAAAACACGCATGGCCGAAAGTTCAGAAGCGTGAAGCTCACGTTACCAGGGAAACCGCCAAGCTAGGAACAATGGACAGGGTAGTTTTACCCGTGACGTTAGAATGGCATGACCAGATTGACACAGCCTGATTCCCACTGCCACTGATGTGGGTGAAACTTCGAAAGGAGCGCCGTTGACACACGCACGTCAGCTCTGAATAGTACGTGAACAGAGCTACTGACGCCTAATAGCAACACAAACCGGTCGACGTAACACCCCTTCTGTGCCAATCTGCGATACCCGGGGGCTGAGATACTGCCAAACTTTTCTATAGGGGAAAATGTTGGTAGCTCAGGTATCGTAGATGGTGGTCGTTGGCTTGTTCGCTGAGCTGGGCAATTTGATTGCAAACGTTTCATCACCAATCGAGGTGATGAACGTTTGCAATCAAATTGCCCAGCTCAGCGAACAAGCCAACGACCACCATACTGCTAAACTGTCCAGACCTAGGCAGCAGCAGACGAGATGACGTGGTTGGTTGACCTTCCGGACCTCTAACGGAACTCCCAGAACTGTAACCTTAGGTGGATTTGTCAGTTTCGAGAAGCAACTCGTGACTCACGACGTGTCATCATGACTGGTTTCAGCCAGCTTAACACGGATTAGAATAGGCCGCCAATTGGCGAAAAAAATTGACAGCATTGCATTTCTGTCCTTCCTTTTGGTGAAAGGACGAATTATTCAACCTGCATCTTCCTGAGCAGTGGCAATCATGTCTCGATTTGCTACCCATCACAGCTGAAGAGATTTTTGAAGGCGGCTGTGTATCTCACTGATGGCGTTCTCCCTCGCCATAGCGCTCAGCTGCGTCTGTCTTCTTGCAGTTCCAAGGTTCACATACCTTGTTTCTGATCGTTCTTCGTAAAAATATTGGGATGTCAGTGAGCTTTTCGTTGGGAAGATCGAGAGAGGAAGTTATGCGTTTAAAGTGACACGGACACATACAACTGCACACACACACATACACATCAAGTGCAATTGGACCATGTCTATCAATGTCTGTAAACACTGATGTGCCACGTCATCATCATCATCATCATCATTGCCAGCTGTAATAACCGCGTACTCGTCGTACAGTGGTTGTAGCTGCCGCAGTTTCGCCCACCGATGATTTGGGGGGGGGGTAGGTAGCTGCGCATTGCAGGCGGAAGCTGATAAATTGATGCATAAATCCAGCAATGTCAGTGGGCTGTCAAGTGGGGTGCTGGAAAAGTATCTACGTATTGAAGGCAATAGCTTAGATGCACGAGCGCCATTGAAGGCGCGACTGGGCCATGTCTGACAATGTCTCTAGCTATTGATGTGGACCGTCTCGGGGTCCCCAACCAGGAAGACGGCAATGACCAGTGCAGCTGAGTTTGCTGGTAATGGCGTTTTACGTCGGTGCCAAGTCATTGTTTGACCGCCTCTGGCTCTTTTCCACCCTTCAAGTGGTTGCGCGAAAAGAGCCCTTCGAGGAAGTCGGTCGACTGGCATACGCAGCACGTGGCCAAGCAAGCGCAACCTATGCAGTGTGATCAGTTCATCTATCGAGGGTGTTATTTCTCCCGAATACTATTCGACGTACTTCAGCATCGCTGACCCGGTGTTCCCATCAGATTCGGGCAGTGCTCCGAAGACATCAGTGGTCAAACACTGAAAGTCTTTTGACGTCCTCGGCGCGCAGCGGCCAGGTTTCTGATCCATATAGTAATATGGGGCGCACCGCAGCATTGTAACCTCGATCCTTGACGGAGAAGCTGATGTCATGCGTACGCCACAGGTGACGTAGGTTCACAAAACCTGCTCTTGCCTTTCCAATCCGGATGGAAATATCATCTCTCGCCAGACTACTGGGACTGATACAGCTACCCAGTTAAACAAATTTGTCTACTACCTCAATCGGTTCATTCGCAAGCATGAGGCTAGGGTTCGAGCCCACCCAGTCTTGCAGTAGCACTTTAAACTTTGCAGGTATGAAGGGTATGCCGAACCCTGAGGCAGAATTATTTAGATTATTTAATATTGTTTGCATTACCACGGGGTCAGATCCCGTGCCACGTCCCCATCCAGGAAGACGACAATGATAAGCGTAGTCAAGTTTGCAGGTAATTGCTCGCACTGTTTGACCGGCACCTTAAGGAGGATCGAGAATTAATGGGGGACACGTTTGCACCACAAACACCTTAGTGCCTGATGGTTCACAAAGTTGAAGACAGTTGAAGTCAAGGAGGACAACCACCGTTGGCTGCTAAAAGCCCCGTGCCAGTGGACGGTGAAAATATGACCGATGCGCCCTCTTGCAACACGGAACCAAGATTAATTTTCACGGATCTGACTCTCGCTGTATTGAGTCCACCTTCGAAGCATAGGATCAAAGTGCACCTTCGATATCACAGCTAAAGGTGGTTTTTTACACAGCGTCCGCACACCCTTTTGGAAGACAGGAATAAATGTCGACATGACCCATTCTGCAGGCACTTTCTCTTCATGCCATATCACAATAATAAGCTTTGTTAGATGGACCATCAGGGACTCTTGACCTTCTCTGATCAGGGATGGATACAGACCGTCCGGTTATCGTGCCTTTTCAAGTTTCAGTACCGATATTCCGTGCATTATTTCTTTTGACCATGAGAGACTAGGTTCGACATCCCATTCGCCCATACGCACTATCTCCAGAGTGTGTTGCAGGAAATCAGCTAAACTGTTCTTCGAGGTATTCGGCCCACCTTTTTCATTCGACGTTTTTGCGAGGGACTTAATAAACCACTACTTATCGTTTCACTGACCGCTGCTTTCCTAGGACCAGTCTGTCGTATCAGGTGATACCGGTAGCAAAAGCCCTCTCCAGCTCCCAAACTTTCGACGTCCAACAGAACCCTAGGTCTTTCCTTAGGTTCTTCACTATTTAGCATTTGAGGGATTTGCGTGCGCCGTCGTAATCGTTGCCTGCGAGTTTGAATTTCCGGGTATCAGTCAGAACAACTGATCCCGACGACACCTAGTGGTTGGATCGGAAAAGTCAGATTGACAGCATTGAACTCCGCTAGCGTAGCGCTTCCTTCCTTTCCACCAGTACAGTATTACTTTACTGTGGATGTTGAGCTAGCTCAAATAGATACTGTTCACCTATGGTGGTAGTTCGAAGGTGGCAGATGGGCAGGCCTCTTGCTGGCTTGCAAGGACCTGGAATAGAGGATTTAGCAAGGTGTTATTTTGTTTAGTGTTAATAGGCAGCGGAGAGCATAAGGCCCATCGGTTAGATAACTGACAGTCAGATGATCCAGCAACTTTTGTTAGTGTGGTGCGAAAGGGTTGAGAAGGGATATTGGTGGACATAGGACTGTGTGGGCAAGTGATGCTTTTCGGTTGCCCAGGCAGAAGAGGGTTCGGTTGAGATACCCCACCTTGAGTAGTTGACTCAGAAGTCTGGCTCACAAGACAGTTGGAGGATGTAGGGTTTTCCTCGAAACCCTGCCTGTAGCCTCTGATTCAGAAGTTTGATCTTCGGGACAGCGGGGCAGTACGGTTTTCTTTGGGCAATCTTTTCCGGAGCCGATGATCCAATAGTTTGACCTAGTCAGCTACAGTGAGATGGCCTAACCAGAGGACGCAGGTAGTAAGACATTACTGTCTCACTGCTGATTTGGGGAAGCGTGGCAGGTGCCTCTTGACCAGTACCGGACTCTGGTTTTAAAATCATTTCGACCGTATTGAATAATGAGCCGGCGGTCACTGTCAACCATTGGGCGATTGGTGTGTGCGGTTTCAAGGGCTGACATATTTAACCCGTCCTTCCTCGAGAGAAGGCAGCAACGCTACTTCCATAAATATGGACATGCTGGTCGCCTGGGGGAAACACCTTACTGCCTTCACTCCTCTATCGCAGAGGACAATACGACCTTACTTCCAGATCGGCTCGCAATATGATTACTTGCAGTACGGGGGCTCTGTCTCCTCCTTGTTCGCCTTCCTGGAATGGTTGAACTGGGTTCCAGCCAGCATAGCCCACAAGAGTCACTGCATCACAGAAGTCCGGCCACCACAAAGTGACAGCTTTAGGTCGGGACCCAAAATTCACGAGTTTGTAGACAAAAAAATCACTATTAACATATAAGATTTGTAGTGAGTTTCGTTCACAGGACCTAACCCCCATATTACTTCGGGGATAAATGCTCACAGCAGGAAGTTTAATTTATCAAGTATCCGGAACATGTTGTCATAGATCTAGCGGAATCCACCCAGAATTGCAGCCGGAAGCAAGATGACCCTCATCCGTCTACGACCTAGTGCGTGTTTCTATGATTGAAGAATGAAACGCAGACATGCGAAGCCCCAACCTTTCACTTTCAAAGGTGAATCATTGTATACATAAGATAAAATGAGAGGAACCAACACAGGAGTATATGACTCACTCGAGTGAAAGCCGAGTAGCGAAACAGATCCGTTTTCACCAACCCTGGGTGAACACTGACACCAATGATATTCGATTCCTGTTGCCATCGTTCCGACAATGCTTTAGCGTGAATTGTATTCGCCAGCTTGCTGTTCGAATAACTAGTTCCGACAGCTGGATGGGACAAATCGTCCAAATTCAATTCGGCTAAACGGTGGTTGAACGAAGATACGTTGACGACACGCGCCTCACCGTCGATGGCGGCTGCAGCAGCCAAAAGAGGTCGTAGAAGATTGGTTAGGTAAAAGTGTCCCAAGTGGTTGACTTTCAAATGACGTTCTATGCCATCCGCATCAAAGTGAGAATGACCCAGATTGATTGCAGCATTATTGATCAAAAGATGCAGTGCGTGCTCCTGCCTCTGTAGTCGGACGGCAAACTGACGGATCGAAGAAGGTGATTCCAGATCAAGTTTCTCGCATTCCAGCTGAAGAGAAATAACATCAAATGAATTCGTAATCAGCCAGCTAGAAAATAGGCCAAGCCGAATTGGAATGGGTTGCTCCTATATCATTCATTTGCTAACGAGACCTGTTAGTCAAAATCGAGAAAAATCACTACTTAAGATATAACGGAATTTGTGGTAAGACAAGACCTGAGCTCTACTATCATATCGGGGATAGATGCTAACAGCAGAAAATTTACTTAATCAAACATATAAAAGAACTTGCCAATGCTATAGACAACTTATCTGGGACAAAGTACCAGCGAGACGCCACACTCTAAAAGCAAGACCCCAAAATGGCTTGTCGTGTCTGCGGCAAGAAAACCCATCGCTTACATCATGTAGTAAAAACTACCTACCAGGACCGTTACCAGGATCGTCCGGAGTTGACCTCTCCAGAGTTTGTCGCTCTGAAATGTTACGACCAAGCAATTGTCCGGAAACGGAAGTGTGTGGTGCTACAGTATCACCATCTAGCTGCTGATCTAAGACAGTAAACACTTAGTGTTTACAGAAGATCACGCTTATCACTTACCATAACAGAAGTGATTGCATAAATGTACACAAGAACTTGTTGGACTCGACCGCAAATAGTCATTCCAGAGAAGCGGTTAGCATACCACAGCAACCCTGAAAAGACCACTCGCTAGAAAATACCACCACAGAAATGAATATCTCCCAGTAGAGATCATTTTCTGTAAAACTGAAAAATAATGGTTCAGCTGTGGCACTCTTTTAGGATTTAAGTATGATGCCAACCAAAGGGAGTATGAGGGCTGAGATACTTCAAGATTGCCAAAACCTAGAAAGGAGCGCCGGGATGAAGAGGTCGGGTTCGAACCACGGGTCTTCGGGTCAATAGGCTCGCACTTGAACCACTGAGCCATCTCGAGTGATCCCCTCAGATGTGTTCCAAAGAAGGACCTGCGTAACTCGACATGTTTTAGGTGTAATCATATTGCAATCACTACCAGTTCTTGTCCGAAAAAGGGTCTAAATCGGAATGTGGGCTAAATACTTCCGTTATGGTGGAAGGTATTCGGTCATCGACTAAACGTAACTCATTTTATCAGCTGTGAACCATATACCATTCATACGTTGATCCCACTTGCTACGGTTACGAGTACCGGTAAGGGTGAGAGCGTGGAGCACAAGGACACGCAGTCATAAAACGCTCCACATTTCTTTCTGATCTAAAGCTACCAACTTATCGTGGTGATCGGATTTCGCTGCTGCAGTGATCCTAGGAGCTACAGTAGCTGGAATTCAGTTCCCCAAAGGCCAATGATGAGCAGTCCGACGAAGAGCAACAAGTCAAAAGCTTTCAGAAACCGCATTACGAGACAGCATGGCTGCAAAGCCGTACTATCTCCTACGATGGGGTTGGAAGCCAGTAAGATATCTTCAACAGGTGACCAGCAAGTCCATATTCATTGGAGAAACGACGCTGCCCACCACCGAGTAAGGACGGCTTAGAAAAGTTGGCTCTGAAAAACGCACATTCCGATCAACCAACATTTGATCATGACGGCCAGTCAATAATTTAATACGGTCGAAACAAGTTTAAAAATAGTCTGGTGATGCTCAGAGAACACCCGCTGTACGCAGCCACAGTGTAAGTCAGAGAGTTATGTCCTACTCCAATGTCTTACTTCAATCGCCCTCCACTAACCCCCTATCCAACCAATGAATGACAACCCTTTGACTACTGGCGAGGCCCGCAACTTCTGCGATAGCAACAAATAAAAAACACTTAAAACTAAAAAACAAATTCAGCAACTCACCTGAGCTTCTTCGATGCTGGTCAAGTGTGGCAAAGATGAGGCAACGAGTTGACCAGTTCCAAAACGCTTCAGTAGACGCTGGCGCGCATCCTCTGCTTTGTGCAGGTCACGACAGGCCATAATAACGCGAGCGCCACGACGGGCTAACTCGCCCACTACTTCGTATCCGATGCCCGTGTTACAGCCAGTCACCACTGCCAACTTCCCGTCTAATCGCTGGGGAAGTAAACAGTCTTTATGGTCGAAGTGAAGCTTCTTGACAACCCAAAGTATGATTACCAAGGAAAGCAGGACAACGACGAACAAGAGCGCCATCGGATTATGGAAACCAGGACAAGATTAGCTGAAAAAATTAAAACAGGGATGAAAAACCATAAAGACTATGCAGGTAGCTTCGTCAATGAGCAGCATTTTCCACACAATTATCAGCTATCCAGGTTAATATCAATCCGCACCAACCTTCCGTTTTTTGGCAGGTGTTTTGTACTTCCAAATACGAAATTTCGCTTCCAAAATTTATCCACTTCATTGTAGCAGATCCTTATTGAAAAAAGGACAGCTCTAAATCTGCACGCTCTACTGCACATGCACATGAAGGATCATCTACGGCGCAGTTTGCACAGACGGTAGCTGTCTGGTCCCAGAATTTTCAATCACATCTAAAACCGTTAGGAGCATAACACAAGTCTTCTGGTCAATGAACAAAAAATGACAGCTTTTCGAGCAATGAATGCATTGTGTAACATGAGGTCAATGTCGCCGTCGTCGAGACAGACTTCCGCAGTACATGCTGTCCAATACGGAATTGTCTGGAGAAGAGAGGGGTGCGTTTTTACTGCACGCCAACAAGTACTAGAGAAACGGTTCACTTATACAGTCTCTGTACAGAATGTCAATAACATATCTAATCGACAGAATGATATCACTGTTCAGCAGTGATCCTCCCTAGTCAGTGAGTACAATGGTGGTATACACTACCGATTTTACCAAAACATGTGCGTCCTCACGTTGTTCAAGTTCATCCAGTCAACGTTGTTCTCTGGAGAATGGACACATCACGAATGATTCACCTGCTGTATGGCAATGATGCTTTGTGTCTCAAAATCTTCCACGTCTCAATGGGTAGCCGGGATTTCAAGCCTCTTTGCGAGCTCAACGACCCGGAAAGGGAAATAACGATTTATTGAACTCATTCAGTAGCAGCCTCCGTAGCGAACCACTTCACGTCCCCTCTTTGCAGCTCCATTTTCCAGCAAACAATATATAATTTGTTTTCTCACGCAATTCCCAACTATCCAAAAAATCGCAATCTAGACGTGCATGCAGGATGAGCCAAAGCAACCGTGCGCGTTCAGTTCAGCTAAAAAAAACGTGCAATAATGTGCAGTGCTTCTGACCGCCGTGGCTCCGATCAGGGCGAATCGGAATCCCGAAGTTGGTTTCCAATTGCACTGCTTCATAATCAACAAACTCGCGCTTTCATTACTTAGCTATCACTGCAGTCCAACAATGATTCCCACTCTCTACATTTTCGAACAGTTTCGTCATTGGTGAATAGATGGGGTACAAACATGGAGAGGTCTGGAAAAAACCAGCAAGAACCTTGTTGATCGGGAATGTGTAGATATCGTCTTCATGATGCTATTACCACAACCTCGTAAAGCTCTTGTTGGTTTGCTTCATACAAACTGAACCTGCATGATAAACACCTCATTGCGACTATATAGTTACGCATAGTCGCTGGATGGCGTGTTAGATATCACTGATTTGTCAGTTGGCAATTAACAACACTCGCGCCACATGCATATGGAAACCGCGAAAGTCGCCGGGGCTATAGCCTGAAAAATTTACACCTTAGGCCAAGACGGAGTGTATCTAGAACAAGCACTTAAAAAAGCTGTTGCAGTGCACATAATCCAAAGTAAGGTTATATTTGTTATTAAAACCCTTTTAAAGCCTTTAACGAGCTCTTCATAGGTCACTGAAATGAAGAATCTAAAAGTTGTGGTAATAGCGATAGTGTGATAGGAGGGAACAAAGGATATTATGAAAAGCTGTGGGCAATCTGGCAGTTAACGGATAACTGGGAAAATACCACGACTCTGCTACGGACCATAGGAGGAAACTCAGCGGTGAGCCCAAATATGAGCCAATCCGGAGTGAGCATTTTAGACCGGGTGCTACTGGCGTCATCAGGAGGATTCAGGGATTCACGGATTCACGGATTGATACACAGGAATGAGGCTACCATCCACGTTTCCTGGGTTGAATTTCTTCGTTCAAAGGCTGCCGTTACCCTGAAAGGTGCGAGTAAAGAAACGGGTGTAACACTGCTCTTTAATTTCACAGCGCGGGGCAGTATGCCAGACAGAGCAAGGACCCACATGGATATTGTGGCGTTTTGTGCCTTTATTTCGCTTCCATTATAACACCACGCCACGCAATNTTTTTGTTTGGATACGAAACATTACAAAAGCGCACACTTGTACAATTTAACGCAATACAAACGTGGTCACGTGCTTCCACTCTCTCTTCTGATTTCGCTCGCGCCTGCACCGGTCATTCGCGAGTATCATGTGCTAATTCTGGTAGCAAAACATTTCAGGCCATATTCGGAGTATATTATATGTGAGAAATGTTCAGAAGAAGACCCTTGAACCACCATAATTGGATTATTGTTCATTCACTGACCTGGGCCAACGACAAACTGTTTTAAAGAGGATAAATGTTAGTGAGTCTGTTCCATCTGACCTCCTTATTATTGTATACCCAACCTGGAGTTATTATTTTTATTTCTTTCCCACACGCTTCTGTTAAAGTAACTTATTGGGTTGCTAGACCTCTATAAATTTGGTGAGCCCGAGTATTTCTAGATATTTTTTTGGAAACTTCCTTTCAAGTCGTCGTAATTTTGTTTCTTCTGCCCGGTCATTATAGAGGCACACTTTGATTCAGCGGATTTAGTCGAGAACGCAATTAGCATACGTTTACCAGGCTATAATCCACGCAATCTCAGGGTATGGTATCACCAGGTGGAGGTCGTCTTTACTACCCGACGCATCACTTCCCAAGCCACTCAGTTTTGCTATGTTGTCCAGCGTCTTCCTCGTGAAGTAGCAACAGAAGTGGAAAACCTGTTGGAAGATATTTCCAAGGAAACTCCCTATGACGCCCTTGGAGCGGCCATCATAAGTAGGACAGGAAAGTCAGAAAACAAAATTCTAAGGGATCTATTCACCGCTGTCGAACTTGGGGATAGATCGCCAATACAACTGCTTCGCCACATGCGCAGTCTCCTCTGCGGCCGTAGGCTAGCGGTGGAAATCACGGCCCAGCTATGGCTTGACTAGCTTTCACCCTCCATGTCCCACGTTATCAGCGCTTTCGTTGATGACCACAGCTTGGGTCAGCCAGCCCAAATGGCCGATAAAATCCACGAGACACGCCCCAGTAACCCCGTGAACTCCGTCCTCCGTCATGCACCCACTACTTCTACAGATTCAGATCCGATTCTCGCTTCCATATCGCAACTTCAAGCTAAGTATGATACTTCGACCGATCGCCTGCAACAGCTAGGGATCAACAAGCATCGACCACGTTCACGATCCCGATCGTTGTCTCGTGTCCGTCATTCTTGGTGCTGGCATCATCAAACTTTCGGTCCTCAAGCACGCAAATGCCAACCTCCTTGTCCCTTCAAACCGCGTCCCATCACCCCAGTAAACACGCCGGCCAGTCAGTAACGGCGACGACTGTCTGTGGCCCTCCTCCCACTAGTTGCCGAATCCATATCACCAGTCGCTCAAGTGGTCTACGATTTCTCGTAGAAACGGTAGCTGAAGTTAGTGTGCTACCGCTTAAGAATCTACTTCCCGATTCTGCTTCTTTTTCCTTACAAGCCGCTAACGGTACGGAGAACGTTCCCTCGCCCTTGACCTCGGATTGCGACGTGCCTTCAAGTGGATCTTCCCTTTGGCCGACGTCCAAACACCCATCATCGATGCAGATTTCCTGACTCACTACAACCCATCCGTTGATGTGCGACACAAACGCCTCTTAGATATGCTAACTTCCCTCTCAGTCAACGGAATTAGTGACTCAACTTTATCCACAGGGAATCGAGTTATCTTACCGGATTCACATTTTGCTGACATACTTAGGAACTTTCCAACCCTCATTCATGCATGTCACTACACCCAACCGGTTACTCGTTTCGCCGTTCAGCGCATCGAGACGAGAGGTCCACCTGTCCATACCAATCCTCGCCTACTTCATCTGGATAAGCTACAAATCGCAAAACACGAGTTCGAACACATGCTCGAACACGGCATCATCCGCCCTTCATCGAGTCATTGGTCATCACCCCTACATATGGTACCCAAGAAATCTGAAGGTGATTGGAGACCCTGTGAGATTACTTTTCTCTCAATAACGCTACTATCCCCGACAGGTTTCCCATTCCACAGGTCCACGATTTCGCAAGTACCCTATGCCACACAAACATCTCCAAACTCGATCTCGTACGTGCATACTACCACACCCGCAGCCCTGGATGACATCATTAAAGCAGCTATCACAACACCGTTTGGCCTTCTCGAATTCACGCGTATGCCCTTTTGTCTTTAAAATGCAGCTCAAACGCTTCAACGTTTCATGGACAAGGTCCTACTTGGTTTACCTTTTGTGTGTGCCCATCTTGGCGATGTTTTAATCGGCAGCACATCCCCAACTGAGCATGCAGCTCAACTCAGAGCAGTATTTGAGCGTCTTTCTAGTTACAACGTAAGTTTGAACATTGACAAATGCTTGGTCGGTGTTACTAGCCTAGAGTTTCTTGGCCAGCACATTGACACCACAGACATTTCACCATTGCTCGATCGCCTTTTGGCCCTGGAGTCTTCTCCATACACACCGCTATCGCCCAACTTCGTCGTTTCACTGGTACCATCAACTACTATCGGCGATTCATCCCTCACTGTGCAGATATTTTGAAGCCACTGACCGATTTACTTGGCTCCATGAAAAATCTGTTACTTTGCTCCCCGCCGCCATCGCCGCCTTCAAAAGAGCCTAGCGGATCATTGCTTAGGCCGCAAAGATATCTCTCTTCGATGATCATGAAAGCGCAAACCTGATTTTGACAACTGATGCTTTGAAGGCTGCCATCGGTGCCCTACTTCAACAAGTTGTCAACAACGCGTCTCAACCACTAGCGTTTTTCTCGCAGAAGATGTAGGCTGCCCAAACGCGTTACAGTACTTTTGGTCGTGAATTAACCGCAATTTACCTTGCTGTTTGCCATTTCCGGCGAAGTAGTTGGATCGTTTACCATTCAAACCGACCATAAGCCACTTACGTATGCCTTTAGCGCCAAGCCTGATCGACACTCATCAAGCGAGATACGCCATCTTGAGTATATTACACAGTTCACTACCGACATTCGGTACAATCCAGGTTCGGACAATGCCGTCGCAGACGCGCTATCCCGTCCCGACATCAACACTCTTCACCCTTTTACGAAGTTGGACCTAGCGAAGCTGGCGAACCTTCAAAATAGTGATCCTAATTTTTGCCCATTCCGCCTTTCCCTTCATTTCAAGTCTTTTCAATTTTCCTAGTCCTCCAATCCGGATCCGTTTTTGTGATATGCCTGCCGGCTCAGCTCGCCGAATCGTCCCAGAAGCCTATCGAGGAGTTGTTTTCGACAACTTGAACTTTCTCATCCTGGTATCAGAGCAAACAGGAAGTTGATGAGTACACGCTTCATATGGCCCTACATGAATAAGGATCTAACATCCCGGGCCAAACAGTGCATCGTCTGTCAACGCAGTAAAGTAACTCGGCATACAAACCCACCTACCGGTTCATTTGCCGTTCCTGATGCTCGATTCACACACGTCCATCTCGACATTGTTGGTCCTCTTTCCCCAGCAAACGGTTTCATTCATATCCTTACCATGATTGATCGCTTTACCCGTTGGCCAGTAGATGTACCCATTTCGGATACTTCAGCTAAAACAGTTGCCTTATCATTTTTGCAACACTGAGTGAGTAAATTCGGCGCACCTTCCACCGTTACTACGGATCGCGGTTCACAATTTCAGTGTACTCTCTTCCGTGAGTTCTCTACTCTATTCGGTTTCAGTCGCAGTTCGACTATGGCGTATCACCCTCGCTCCAACTGTCTGGTTGAGGGTTTCCATAGCTACCTCAAAGCTGCACTGACTGCCCAAATGAACCCATCGTCATGGTCCTCTTCTTTACCCCTCATTTTGCTCGCTATTCATTCCACCGTTAAGCAGGATCTTCACTGTTTGTCAGCCAAACAAGTATACGGTACAACTTTACGTTTACCCGGTGAATTGGTTTCCCCTTCTGGCGCACTGCCCGAATAAACCATCAAGTTCGTCACCCGTCTGAAACAGCATATGTCCGAACTTCGTGCGTCACCGACCAGACGATCAACGCGAAAAGACCACATATCAACCAATCTATCTTCTACACCATCTGTATTTTTCAGCATGACGCGAAGAGGAAACCTCTCCAACCCTGTTATGATGGCCCCTTCAAAGTTATCGAACGTCACTCCAAATACTTTGTTTTAAAGAGAAGCGGAAGGCACGATACCACCTTCATTGATCGTCTGAGACCCGCCTAAATCGAAGCACCCGCGACTACATCCAGCAATCCTGCTATTCCAACAGCACCCGCACCTACCCAAGATAACCGTGTTACCAACCTCACTCCTTCCACTAGTCGTCCCGAACGACGCGTCCATTTCCGTCAGCACTAAGCTGATTACGAAAGTTTAAGTGAGCAAATTTTGATTCGTTACTTTAATTGTTCGAGCGTTTTTCCCCTTGCACGGCCAAAGCTCCAGTGGGAGAGTGGTGGGGCGTTTTGTACCTTTATTTCGCTTCCATTATAACACTACGTATTTCATCAATTGCATAATCGTTTTTTTGTTTGAATACGAAACTTTACAAAATAAACGCACACTTGTACAATTTCACACAATAGAAACGTGGTCACGTGCTTCCACTCTCTCTTCTGATTTCGCTCGCGCCTGCACCGGTCATTCGTGAGTATCATGTGCTAATTCTGGTAGCAAAACATTTCAGGCCATCTTTGGAACGTATTATATGTGGGAACTGTTCAGAAGAAGACCCCTGGACCACCATAATTAAATTGTTGTTCATTCACTGACCTGGGCCAACGACGAACTATTTTGAGGAGGACAAATTTTAGTGAGTCTGCTCCATCTGACTTCTTTATTATTGTATACTCAAACTAGTGTTATTACTTTTGTTTCTTTGACACACACTCCGTTGAGGTAGCTTTTGGTGTAGCCAGACTACTACAATATATGTCTAACACTACTTTGAGCTTGGTTCCAGAAGGAGCCTGGATAACCGTCGGAGGAAGTTCATTCCACGCAGCCTCTACCCGAAATGAGAAAAAATTGTCTAATAATGCTGTGCGCTCTGAGCTTGAAAATGTTCTCACCTTGCCCCAGCCAATGCTGAAAAACTGGCGGCAAAGCCATCTTTAAACAGAGCATAAGTAAGAATTAGGTCCCCTCGGAGGCGAGGATACTTCAGGAGAAAGGGGTCAAGCACCGCGATACGCCTTACGTAATCAACGAACTTGAGACCGGCAACATTTCCGTGTCGGCTCGTTGGGCGCGCCCAATTAGGGTAAAGCCTTTCGTGAGTACCGGGGAGACAACTTGGTTGGCACATTCAAGAAGCCGTCTGACGTAGACCCCATAGAGTGTTTGGATGTCCATGCGAGTAATACGGGAGAGGGTGCGCCTAATCATCCATAAAACGGCGAATACCTTTTGGGCCGATTTCTCATAGTGCAGTGAGAAGGACATGTTTGAAGGGTGTCAGATACCCAAATCCTGTTTGGCACCTATCCACGTGATGTTTTCTGATTCTTTTCTCGCAATGCATGATAAAGGCATTCGCTAAGTCTCCTCCAAAGGATATATGGATGTACTTTTTGTAATTCAGGGGAAGGTACCAGTCCAACGACCACTGCTTTGCAGTGTATACATCCATTTGCAGGGCACTTACACTGAAAGTCCGGTATTTCAGGTCGTCCGCTCAAAGTAGACATGGACTTGCAAGAACATCTGGAAGTTCGTTGACGTGTATAAGAAACAGCGTGGTCGCGGAACGGAGCCCTGAGGCACTACAGTGAAGACCGGCGCCGGAGAAGAGTAGGCCGCGCCTACTTCTACTCAGAAGGTTGTCTGATAAGAACACTTTAGTCCAGTATAGAAGTTTGCCCTCAAGACCCGAAAAACTCGAGCTTTTGGAGAAGCGGAAAGTTTGCGGCGCAGCCTATTGCTCTTGAGAAGTCGAAAAATATAGCACCTGATATGAGTCCATCTTTCTTTGCTTGGCTTAGACGGTCCATAAATAAGAAAATCTTCGTCACGTAAGAACGGTGTAGGTAAACTCCATGTTGAAATGGAGGTACCAAGTTCTCGGTAGTAAGGTGATCTGGAGTGACTTGATTCAGAATGCGTTCCATCATTTTGCGCGGCACACCAGTGAGGCTTATGGGCCTGTTGCTGTCGCGTGATCGTCGGTCAGGCGTTTTGTAACTTGACGTGAAAATAACTTTACTCCAATCAATGGGGACGCGGCCTCTGTCGAGCGGCTGAGGAAACCTCAGAAATAAACCTTTTCCAGTGTGACGACGTTTCCTTCAGCATGCCTGGATGGACATCGTCTAGCCTCAACACAGGGAACGGGTTTGTCTTGTGCAATGGCTGGCGAATGTCCACTTCCGTGACTATCAAGGTTGCTATAGGCCATTCGTTGTTGTGCCTTGACAATATTGAGTCTACAAAGGTCACTGGGACAGAACGTGTATAGTATGTCTAATAGTGTTTTCTGTATAGTACGGATAACACTTTGGGTCATTCATGAGTTTTCCGTTCCTGGGCTTCAAGGAGATCGCAGACGGCTGGATTCTGCGACTACAATTTGAGAAATGTAGAATCATATTATTTTTTACTGGGCGAAATTTGTAAACGTGGCTTGTTTTCTGATGCACAAACAGCGGATTTCTTATTTACAGCGGTTCCGCACGACTACAATTGAGAAATGTAGAATCATATTATTTTTTACTGGGCGAAATTTGTAAACGTGGCTTGTTTTCTGATGCACAAACAGCGGATTTCCTATTTACAGCGGTTCCGCACTTTAAGAAATGCCAGCTGATCTTCTGTGTTTCTTTAGTCAACTCTTGGACAATATTTGGGACCTGTTTCCAGAATACGTCGAATCATTTTACGTAACCTGCGACCCCTCTGACTGCGTGCCATTTTTTGCGCCAGCCTCGTGAACTTCCTGAACAATGGTCCTCCATAAGTCTCCCACTAATTCTGGTCCCAGTCTAACTTGTTCAAGAAAGGTGTGCATTCCTGAGAAGTTCGCACTGCAGAAGATTCGAAACGACATTTGGAGTTCCGGACTTCTGACACAATAGCAGAGGCAATCAAAGGTCAGCGCACAGTGGCCGCTATTTCCCAGTGGAGCGCCAATTATCACCTGATCAATGAAGTGTCTTTCGCTGGTGATGACCAAATCCGGGAGAGATGGTAGTTGGCCTGCGTTGTATCTCGTAGGTGTAACGACATTTTGAGTTCAAGCACTGCGTTGAACGACTTCAATCAGCGCCGCTGCAAATCGTCCACCTGAACAGATGCGCTAGAGCTCCATCTAGGAGGCTTTTGGAGCGCTGAGGTCGCCTATCAGCAAGAGAT